AAAATGATATCAAATTAAACTTCAGCAAACAACAGAGTGAATTATCCTTAGACATTGTCTTTCCATTATTAATCTGGTAATAATATCGGACTTTCAGCTTTTTAAAGGGCATTGTTTTCCAAAGTTGGAAACAGAAATTTGCACCTGATCTCTGAAGACCAAACACTTGCAATGCAATAAGACGACAGCAGGTGGCGCTCTCTCACCTTTTCTAGCTGCTCAATGCAGGCGGTGTGGACGACGATTTTACAGACTGCACACTTCCTCCTGAGGGCGGATTTCTACAACGTTCAATTCAAAATACAAGAAAGAAACGTTAACAGTGTGTTCTGAAGACTTCCCTGGTATTAAAACGGGGACACATAAATAAAGCGAACATTTCAATTATTTCTATTACTATACAAATTTAAAACTTCATCTTAAACATTAAATACTGTGACAAACCTCATCACTAGTCTCTCCACTCACCAAGCAACTCCATATCCACGCAACTTAAGATGACCTAGATTGTTTCTTCAAAGTATAATAATAGTAGCTGCTATAAATATCGAGCATCTAATGAGAAGCAGGCTCTTTAGTCTATTATTCCTAAGTGTCATGACGTAACCAATGTAGGCATTATTATCTTCCATTTTAAAATATATTTTGACATTTTTTTTCAAGCAGTTAAGGGGCAGAGCCAACATCCAAACTTAGGTGTAAGTTCAAAACAAGCATTCTTTCCCTACTGCTGAAGAGTCCCTATTTCAAGGGCTACTCACTTTGGGATTCTATCCCAGGCACAGACTTATACTAAGCTACTTGAGTTTCTGCCCAAATCCTCAGGAAATAAAGAAGCTAAGTCTAGCTTTTACAACCAGGAAGCAATAATAATAATAATAGCAGCAAATGCAGCAAAAGCAGCTAACAGGAATATAGCACTTGCTCTTACAAATACTACACAAATAGTAATTCACTTAACCCTCACAACCCTGTGAAATATTTTCCATCCCCATTTCACAGATGAGAAAACTGAGGCACAGTAAGTGACCTGCCTAAGGTTGTCTAATTAGGGCAGAGCAGAGTCAGGTGGTCTATTATGGTGGTCTGGCTCCAGAGCTTATGCTTGTAAGCATTATAATTTGGCTTCTCTGACAGTCAGTACTAGTTTAAATTGACAATAAAAAAAAACTTGAATGTTTATCTTTTCTCGAACAGTAAAAAATTTGCTGCAGGGAGAGAGATGGATGAGTGGAATCTAGATTTCATTACTGCTGGTATCATGTAGGATCTAAACTAAAACTTCTCAGACCTCTCTACAAAGGACAGACTGGAAGGATCTGGGTGAATAATTTTCCTTTTGAGCACTGAAAGCAACTTATTATAACAAAGCCAATCTGTCAAATAGTCTATCAAAGCATCCAGGTGTGAAACACCCTGAGTCCCTATTCTTAAAGAAGACACTCACAGCAATTGCTGGCAACCTTCCCTACCTGTGACGAGTGGCTTCCCCTGCCGAGGTATAATTTTTGAGCCAACTGTGGCAGGTAGGTAGGAAGGAATAAGGTATTGCTGTTGCCAAAGGAGCCTGGAGGAGCTGCAACCAACCACCTTGGAAGAGGCAGAGTCAGGAAGGAAACTGCAGCCTCCTGTGTCTTCCACTTCACTCAGTCAACATGGGGTATTTACACAGTGTTCTGAGCCACCAACCAAAGGACCTAAAACACCGCAGTACTGCAGCAAAGAAACTTGTAGAAAATATCCACTGACTGAGGTTTATTTACTCTGCTTACAGATGCCTTAATTACTCTTGGATTTCTTCTTCCTGAAGAAAGAACATGGTCTAGCACATTAAATAAGTTTGACAGTTCCCTATTGCAAATAACAAAGGACAAGGGAAACCAAAGCATCTAGCTCCACTACTAAAAAGTGTCTTGCTCTACAACTAAGAAAAAAAAAAGAAGAGGAGAAAGAGGAGGAGGAGGGGGAGAAACAGCAAGAACCAGAAGAAAACATGAAGCAGTAATAGCAACCGCAGCAGCAGCAATCAAAACAATAATAAAATTCTATCTTGCAAATTTTCACAGAATGCCCATAAGCAAATTATTGTTCCCCTCCTGTTTCCCATGGATATCCTGCTACGGATCACTGCTTTCATGCCACCTGCAGAAAATGCATGGGGTATTTGAGGCATGTTGCTAATTGAAGTTAAAGTGATGCTAAGGAAATGAGTTGATTCCAGTCTACTCATTATCCACAAAACCCCTAGTAGATTACGCTGCGGACAAGCAAAGTAATACCACCAAAGGTGTGCAACCACTTAGGAGCTATGATTTAAGGATGCCTGGAAGCCTCCTTCCCTACCAGTAACTCCTGTATGGGTCCAGCTGTTTGCCTGACATTACACTCTGCATTAAGTTCTACGGAGCTCTGGGATTTTGCAGGCTCCTAGAAGTCCCTGAATATGATGGGAAGGAGGACTCCAGGTAGACTCAGGAACGTTTGTGCACCCACTGAAACCAGAATACCTCTTCCCTTCTTTGTTGTGCATGTCAGGATTCTGAGTCAAAATCTCTTTTGCATAAGGGATCTGGGGTAGAACCACTGGGCTAAGATATGTTATCTCTCAGCTTTCTGGAACAACATATAAATACACTAACATCATTCATACAGAATAATTCAGGTACAATGTTCTACAGACGGTAATATATGAAGTAAAGTACTTTAAGTTATAAAATTAATTTTAATTAAACAATATTGAATTTTAAATGACTCTCTTAAATATATGACATACTTTCATGCCTTTTAAGGCAAAATATATTGACCATAATCTGAATTCTTCTTCGTAAACACTACAACATGATGCATTGTACTACAAAGAACGGTCATTTTTGCTGCCTGTGTTTCTGTCTGAATAGAGATCCTTTCAAGTCACGGTTCTTGTTTCTTGTTGTTCTCAATTTCCTAAATGACAGCTTCTCAACAGCTTTTAATCTGGGAAATCAGATAATTATGGTTTATAATCATCTGTAAAATTAAGTGAATAAATTCTAAGGGAACATCCAAGGTCTTTTTCCATTGTAGTAAAGTATATAGATTTTCGTTCCTTCATTGATGGAAACTGTTTCAGAGAAACTGAAGTCTTAACGATGGACTTCTTGGTTTATGACTATGTTTCAACTGGTTAAAGTTATTTGAAGTAGCTGGATACTAAGCTCCTGGACAGATACTGACCAAAACACATATTAATAGAATTTTGTGCTTGGTTAGGCTATAATTTTTTTTTTATTTTGGAGATATAAGATATATACAAAAGTAAAAAAAAATGCAGAAATCTGGACATTCTAAATACTGTTAAGTATTCACTTTTTTCCAAGTAACTTTTATATACGCCAGTGTTTCCTTCAGTCATTTAAAATCATTCAGGTTAGTTGTTATTCTTCATATTGGGACACAAATGTTAAAGAACCTAGCACAAAAACACAGTTTAATAAATATTACCAAGAACACCCAGCACGTTTAAAAATTAAAATTACACAAAATCAATAATTTGCTCTCCTGGATGAATTTAAAGGCCAACTAGGCTCACTGCTTTACATATCAAGTAGAGTGTCCTCAGCACACTTACTAAGGATTGCCTGTTTTTGTCAGTGTTGATACTCCAAAAAAAAACCCATTAGTGTGTAAAGGGGAGGGGTGTCTGAAATTAAGACAATATAGGACACGACACAGAACATATTCCATCATATGTCACTTTGAGCTAATAAAACCATAATCGGCATTTGCTCAAATAACAAAATGAAGCTCTGTTTTAGGATGGTGGGCACAATCTAGCTAGCTATCCATACAGGGGTTATAACAGAAAACACGCTTGAAGTTCTGACTGGGCCCCACACACGGGTCCCACACTGCAGACACTGCTGGCGGTCAAAGCAGTGACAGCTCCTCACCAAACTCCAGCTCCTGTCAAGCAGGGGAGTAAAATGGCCCTGGCTTTAGACCCCTGAGCAGGGGACAGAGGCGTGGGGAGGTGTAAGGCACAGAGGGACCAGGGATAAGCAGGGGTAGGAAGTCTAGTTGTCCCTGGGAAAGAGTTCAAGGTCTAATCCTGTCCCACCCAACCACCTCCCTGGCTGTAAGTCCCAGGAAAGCTGTTTCTTCTTCCTTTGAGCATGAGATGGGATTTCTGCTAAGTAATAATGAATAAATAGCTGGTAGGACTTGACAGAGTTTGAAAGAGAGAGGAAGGAAGAAAGGGAGGGAGGAAAGGAATGAAAATAAAAATGGGAAAAAAGAGAGGAGGGAGAGGGTAGAAGGGAGGGAAGAAGGGAGGACAGGGGAGGAGAGAGGAGGAAAGAAGGGGATGGGTGCTTTCGCTGCCTTAGGTAACCTAGTTTCACAGGCCTATGATCTATAAAAGGATTGGGGCCTCCTTGCTGCCCAAGGTAACTGAAATGAAATATTTGTCACCCTGAATAGTCTGAAGTTTGACTTCTAGAAGCAGACACACCGAGGCTGTCTGTCCCCTTCCCACATGCCAGCCTATTCCTCCCTACAGAGGGGCAGAGCTCATGGCCTGCTGACCATTATCTCCTGCTGTCATCCTAAGGCCCCCACCTGGCCTTGCTCACCTCCACAGGTTGAATCCCAGACATGAGAGGCTGGGCAGGTGGCAGGAAGAGAGCCAGCATGGAAACCTAGGTCTCCCTGTCCCAGGAGAGCACAGCCTGCTGCAGACCCCAAACCACCAGAGCACAGTGTGGGTGTGCAGCACCTCACTCCCGAGTTCCCAGCCCGGAGCCCACGGCCCTAATGCAAAGAATCGCCGCTTCACTCCGCCCGGCCCTGCAAAGACACCACAGTGGGCAAAGGGACACAGCGCCGAGAAGGGGGACCCAGGCAGATCAGTCACTCTGGGGAAAGGGCTGAAGGGGACAGGGGTGAAAAGCAGGGAAAAACCCACAGAAAGGAGCTGGGCATAGGTCTACCCCACCTTCCTCCCTGCTTTCTTCTCCTTAAGGCCACCCCTCGGCCTTCCCAGACAGGAAGTTTCACCCTGAGGACTGGAAACTGAGGGAGGGCTGGGAACCGGCAAGGACAGTGTCCTCCTGCCCTCTCTTAGAGCACACAGCTCCATCCACAGCAGTGTGTAGGAGGAAGGGGCAGGCAGCAGGGGGATGCCACCCAGGCAAGGCTGAGCTGTTTTCCTCTCCCAGGGTGGGGCCGATGGAATGCTTAGTCAAGTGGAGGGGAGGAAACTTCCTGAGCTTTAGAATGTCAGGAATCCTTTGTCCTTTGGGAG